GTCTCTGCATGATGTCTAAGAAGTAGTTGTGTGAATACAACCACTTATCGAGGCTTCCATTGGCCATGTACTCGAGTACTAAAGCCTTAAAATCAAGGTTGGAACAACTAGTGATGACTTTTGTGAGATTCCTATGACGGAGGTTACGCAAAACTTCACATTCTATATCAAAACTCTTGAATGCCGCTTCCAATTGTAGATTGAACACTTTAACTGCAATAGCAGTCCCACTTCTGAGTATGCCTTTGTAGACAGAGCCAAAACTCCCAGAACCAATTAGATTACTCTCACTAAGCTCATTAGTTGCTTGGAGCAGTTCATAATATGATATTGTTCTACTTCTTGCAATAGACAATGAATCAGCTTGTTGAGGAGCTCTTTTACCTTTTCTATACCTTAGCAAAAAGGTGATAGGAACAAATGATAGTGCAATTCCCAGTAGAAGAAATAGAAGCATTTTTTTCCTATTTGATCTATGCTTGGAAGAAATGGGGCACGGTGAGACACTAAATCTTGGAGAACCACATAATGCTTTATTGAAGAGAAAAAACTGACTTGAGAGGTTCTTGAAAGGACCCCCAGAGGGGATTTCACCATACAACTTGTTGTAAGAAACATTGAAATACTTCAGGTATTGAAGTTTCTCAAAAATCTTGGGAATGGTTCCTAATATATTATTAAGAGAAAGGTCTAGGAATTCTAAACCTACCATGTTGCTCATTGACTCAGGTATAGATCCTTGCAACTTGTTGTGTCTCAAAAAAAGGTTCACTAGATTTTGTAAGCCTCCAATTTCTCTAGGAATGCAATTTGTAAATTGATTCATTGACAAATCCATCTGTTCAACAGCCTTTAGATTTCCAATTTCTGGAGGTAAAGAACCACCCATGTTGTTTGACGATAAGTCAAGAATCGTTAGTTCTTTAAGGTTCCCTAAGCTTGTTGGTATATTGGAACTCAATTTATTGGAACCCATATGTATCTCCCCAAGGGAAGTAACATTCCCTATACAATTAGGAAGTGATCTTGAAAGTTGATTATGATCCAAGTAAATAGCAACCAAATACTGCAATTTGCATAGATTATCTCCAACACTTCCGGTAAGTTTGTTGGTACTCAAGAACAAGCCTTGAAGGTTTCTCAGGCTTCCAATTGATGTGGGAATCGATCCAACCAAGTTGTTATAAGAAAGACGAAGGTCTAGTAAGCTGCTTAAGTTCCCAATTTCATTTGGAATTCGCCCTTTAATTTTGCAATCCATGGCGATAAAATATGTAAGGGATGTGGAGAGGTTACCTACAGAAAGTGGAAGCATGCCATTTAAAGGGTTGAAAGATACAGAAAGAAATGTTAAATCTCTGCAGTTTGTTAAGGAAGTCAGGAAGCTTAACGATGAGTCGCTCATTAAATTGTTTCCCTCCAAGCCTAGTTTCTGTAAACGAGTCAAATGTCCAAGTGAGTTAGGAATCAAGCCAGTGAGTTTGTTATATGAAAGCTCTAGAATTGTAAGTCTTGAACAATTGGAGATTGAATGAGGTATAGTCCCGACATGATTGGCTAAGCGACTCAGAAAAAGACGTTCAATGTTGGGTAAGATATAACCTATGTTTGATGGGAGGGTTCCTGATAGATTAATATTGTCTGTAAGATCAATTATTCTCAGCCTTGATATGTTGAGTATCTCCATTGAAAGTGGACCACTAAAATTATTAAACGCAAGAATAAATACCTCCAAGTCAACAAGATTGCTTATCTCTTTGGGTATTTCACCTGGAAACACATGAAGAAAGAGGGATTATTACTAATTAGTTCAATCTAGTTTAAGTTATGCTTTTTGCTACAACTTTGAGTACGTACCAGTAAACTTATTTTTTTGAAGATCTATAACCTGCATCTTGGTTAAGTTGCCAATCTCTTGTGATAAGGATCCATTGAGATTGTTCCTCCATAGTGCCAAAAGTTGCAATGAGGAGATGTTGAATATGGAGATTGGGACTGATCCGGTAATCTGGTTTTTCTCCATGGTTAACTCCAACAAATTAACAAGATTTCCGATTCCCTGTGGAATTATTCCTGCAATTCATGTTCGTAAGTATTTGTGGAAGTAATTAGATAAAATATAACTAGCATTCAACATATAATGCAGGATCATACCTGTGAAATGGTTACCTCCGAGATACAACAACTGCAAGTTACGTAGACTTCCAATTTCATTATGTATTGGTCCATCAAACTCATTATATGATAAAGACAAAATTTGAAGTTCTGAGCAATTTGACAAGGTTGTAGGCATTTGACCACGAAGCTTGTTCCAAGATAAATCAAGTTGTTTGAGTAATGGAAGACCATTGCATAATCCATTGGGAAGACTTCCTGATAAGCTATTGTTTGTAAATGCAATCACTTCAATTTTGGAAATGTTGAAAACTGACATTGGTATAGAACCTATAAGCTGATTATCTTCTATACCCAAAAAGTTCATGTTGTGAAGATTGCCGATCCCTTTTGGGATGTTTCCTTGAAGGAAATTGCGAGAGAATTTTAAGATCTCCAACCTTGAGGCATTCGAGAGAGTCAGCGGGATAGAACCTACGAGTTTGTTTCCGGTCAAGTCTAAATTCCTAAGGGTTTTAAGATTTCCAATCTCCTTTGGGATTTGGCCCTCTAAGGAGTTGAACCTCAAACTCAAAGTTTCGAGTTTCGAAAGATTAGAAAACGAAGAGGGGATGGATCCAATGAAACTATTATTCCTAAGAGTTACAACTTGAAGTTGGTGTAAAACCCCAAACCAAGAAGGAACCTCTCCTCTGAAGTTGTTGAAACTTAAATCAAGTAAATTAAGACGACGCAAACGTGCCATTTCTTGAGGCAATTTTCCATAGAAATTGTTGCTTCCCAAGTCAAGGGAAACAAGAAATGTGAGGTTTCCAAAATCTTGTGGAATTCTTCCAGTAAGAGCCTTGTTGGAAAGATTCAACGACCTCACTCTGTGATGGTGAGAACCACAAGTGACTCCTTCCCAATGGCAAACAGAAGTAGTTGGAAACCAGTTTTCATCAAAGAAGTGAAGGGGGTCTGAAAAGATTTGGGATTTCAAAGAAAGAAGAGCTAATTGATCAGTGGTAATGTTGGTATGAGTCATGGCTGAAGTAGCCATAACATAGTAAAGCAACAAGAGTGTTGATACAAAAGAAGTGAATGCTTTATCCATAATTGCATATAATAGTAGGTTGTTAACGATGTAGTTTTGTGACTTTAAATAGCGATGAGATCTCCTCTTTGGTCTTCATGATTATTAAAATATATCCTTTTTATGAGACTTTTCATTCAATCTCTTTTATGGAAAAGGGAAAAACTTTTCTTCATTCATTATGTCATATCAATTGGAGCTCAAAGAAACAAAAATGTGACTTTTGTTAAGATTTAACATAATATTGTAACCCTTTTTTCCATATCAATTATCAACGCAATTACTTCAACAAGCTCCGAAGACTAAAGATGGTGATCAAAATTCTTCCTCTAATCAGGGCGGAGGCAAAAGACGAGTTCTACACTTTTGCTCAAATAATGTATTTTGTATTAAGAAAATTTATTAAATATGTACAAATATTAAATATAGAACTCATTAACACTTGAAGTCATCGTTTTAAAATCTAAAACTCATAAGGCTAAAATCCTAGCTCTGCTTCTAATGACCCCGAAGACGACCAAATCAACCAAGTCTTAGCACGTTTCAATCATTAATATAAATATGGTGGCAAAAATTCCTCTAATCCGCCCAAAGACTTGTGCAAGTCAACCAAGTCTAGCTTTCATTTTTCTCTAGAACTGTGAGGTGAAAAGTAATGCTACATCTATTAAATTATAGTGTACTACATACTAGCAAATATCGAGAATTTTCTTACATGATTACTATAGTTTATAATTGATTGTAATATGTTTATTATCCTCTTTTTTTAAGACATAATCTGGAGAGTTTTACATTCTAGTTACTTAAATTTTTAGGTAGTCTAATAATGTAAAACAATATTTAGATTCTCTGGATATACCATTAGCACTTATTTTTTTGTTGTTTAATATCATGATGAGATTATATAAGCAACGATTGCAAACCAAGTAAAGAAATTTAAGGGCTAGTGTTTGACTCAGAAAGGAGTCGTCACATAGCAATAATGACAAGCGTATTCAGGAATTTCATCAAGGGTGTTCATACTTTAAAAAAGTCAATAATTTTTTCTTGATGAATGGATACGAAAATTTTAAATCAAACTAGGAATTATTTAGCTAAATACTATAATTTTATAATTAAAACTAATGGAGTATACAAAAGA